ATGGCCTTTGACTGATTGGACTTCAAGCCTTTCTCGAAAAGATGATTGTTTTGTCAGAAAGGTGCATTTTTAAAGATAGTGGGTCTTTACTCCATGTCTTTTTTTTATAATAATTTATGTTTTTATGCAAAATTGCAACTTTTCAGGATAAAGTTTCAGAAAATGAAGCAAAGATCTCCTCGTTTTGAAAATTTTATGCTATGCTATGAGAAAGTGATCCTTTCTGTCCTCTTTAAATTGTATGTTACAGTGATTTTATGGGAAATCATTTCATTCATTTTGATAATTTAGCAAATTATAGTAATTTCTCATAAAATATCATTTACTTTCATGTTAGATGTAATACTTTATCAACAAAAAATGTTATACTTGAGATTTCATCTTTCACTTTCATGTTTCTTACACTATTGACATTTCGTTCGCCTTTCATCTTTTTTGTTCCTGTTATCGCAGTCGTCAGTCACTTAATATTGTCTCTTACTTTCTTTTGATCTTGAATACTGTTCGTTATCCCCATGTGTTTCATACACACCATGAAATGTATAACCTTTCAGTTGAATTATGCAGGAATTATACATAATGTGATGATAAATGATAATTTCATTTCATTTTTCATGTATTTGTTGGATAAATTTGCGGAAATTGCATTATTTGCTTTGATCAACTCATTTTTATATCAGAAATCGCATCCATAGATACATATCTTTGCTCATTTTCTCATTGTCAATAGGAGTATTAATCGACTGTCCTATTTTGCATGATAATGCCCCTTTTCTGATTTTTTTTACCACAATTACTGTTTCTGATTGTAATATGCATTATTTCATAAAATAGTGTCAAATTTCACACGTAATTTCAGACAGATAAAAGGTTGCTTGCATCAGAAGTATTAAGATATATTTACATAAAAATCTGGCCAGGCACTCAAAATAATCAAAAAGGAATCAAAATAAAATACAAATAATTGTGGCACATAAAATTAGCGTTTTAGATCCGGAAGCAATTTCGCTTAAGACGAGAATATTTTTATAATATAAGCCTGTCATATGCAATTAAGAGCGGATGTACATAAGCCTTGCCTGTTGCCCAATCCTTGTTATGTTATCCAATGAAATATGCTAAAGTAATAAAAGCCTTGTCCAATTTATTTTGTGGTAATAGCTTGTAAAATTTCTGAGCATTATTCACACATTCATTGATTTCTCTTTTTAATTTGTACTACATAAATAATTTTGATATATACACTATAATTTCTTTCTCAATATATTAGGCATATGTAGATATATTTTCCTTCATAAAGCAAGTTTTGATGTACTTTTCATTTGTTTGTTAAAATAAAGTGCAAGGTAAATCTGCAGTGACATTGATTAATGTAATAGTGAATAATGACAGCAAAAAAGTAACTTCTTTTGCCATATAAGCAGTTTTAACTCTTATTTTCCAGACATTTTTATAATTAAAATGACCTGTCTGACCCAATCATTATTTACACGATATATATACGTTTTTCTTTTTTCCCTTAAATTCTGATATGTATTTAATTCTGCCACGTTTTAATGGTTTTTAAATTACCTAATGATTAAGAAACACGTTTCACGAAGATAATGAGCAGGTTTCTGTCAAAACACATTTGCTGGGGTTATTTTATATGGAATTCAGCTAATGTTAAAGCGAGTGATTAATCAAATAAACAACCTTGGGACGCACCATATGCGAATTTGTAAACATGTCAAATGTTCAATTTCTTGAATTTATATCAAAAACATAAATCATTTCAACAAATATATTCAAAAAAGTTGCTTTATGTTGCGTCTGAGTCTTCTATTTAATCGCATGCAAATCAATGTTTTTTTTTCAGATTGGACAGTTGAAACTCACAGGAATAAGGTAACAGCCACAAACTGTTATCTTCTCCATTTCTATACAATGTAGCTGATAGAAAAATCAATTCATGCACGAAATATATGGCGATAACGAACCGTATACAAGCTCAAAAGTCCATTAAAAACAACAACGGCCTAGAGCAAACACGGACCTCTAAAACAGCAGAGGTGGGATCAGGTGCCATGGTGGAGTGAACATCCCCTTCCGACCGGTCACACCGCCTTGTGCTCCTTAACATGATTGGGAAATAACGGAAAAATCCGTCGACAATTCAGTGTGTGCATAAAGGCCAAACAATAAGTATGAGAACGTCGGTCAACATTTGACCTAATGATAATTTGTATTTGCTGACAAGGTCATTGTATCGACCACAGAACCTTCAAAATAATGACTATAAACGTGACTGTTGATATTCTCGTTTCACGATTTGTTTGTCACTACGTTTTAAAAATTGTTTATACAAAGAAGGTGTATCAATCAGCTGAGATATATAAACTTCGTATGCTTTTGATTAAGGAATATTGCTGAATAAGTAAGGGAAATTGACGATTGAAAAGATCAAGTCATCTCGTTTGTCATAAAGCTTGATTGTTAGATTACCATCAACGTCTTACTCAACTAAAATATAAAAATATGAAACAGATGTGGGAAATTGTGGTATCTTTAATTTCAATTTCATTGGGATATATCGTATCTTCACTTAAGCACACTTAGTTGACAAGGGATTTTTCCCTTGTTTCCCGATCATGACAAGGAGCACATGGCAGGTGTGACCGGTCGGCGGGAGGTGCTCGCTCCTCCATGGCACCTGATCCCACCTCTGATGTTTTGGAAGTCCTTGTTTGCTCTGCTCCTGTTTTGTATTGTTTTATGGACTTTTGAGATTGAATGTTGATCGTTATCTCGATATATTTCATCGATATACTAATGGAAATAATCGTTGTTAATTGACGAGACATTGTCGATATATCCAAATGTCAAGTTGAAGGCCACGGCAAGTGTTTTCTTCTTTTTACGTATAATTTTGGGACAAATTCTGCTTCATATGACTATTCAAATAGTATTCCAAAAGTATTCCAATGAAAAAATTACTTGTTTGATAGAATTTCTAAAAGCCTACCTTAAAGGACATAAAGAATAAATCTAATTTCTATCCATATCATCGCTCTAAAACTTTTACCATGAAGTGTACATCCTTGACTGAATACATACATTTGTATGTATTTGATTAACAACATCCATAACTGTTCTTGTCTTGTATACACATCTTTAATCAAGATGTGCCCATGACTGAACATGTGCTCGATTGACAGCCTGATTACAGCAAGATTAACTGATCTTGTCCAGCATACACTCTTTTTTCTACATCCATGACTGTTTCTGTGTCTGTATCCAACAGTAAAGGATGTCTTGCAGTAATTAGAGCGAGTGGTGGTCGTACTCCATAAAGATTATTTTGTGTGAATTTTCATTTTGAAGGTACATCATTTCATTGACACTTTGCTTTAAATTCTGACGAGATACTTTCATGAAATTTACGGAACATCGAATTGAAATAGACATCATCAACCAGGAATTAAAGAAATTATTTATTGTATGCATTTGTTCTTTAAAACTTAAAAAATGTTAGGTGAACACTTGGAAGTTTGGTTCAGTGTATATGATGAGTTGTTTGAAATAAATATCAATAATGTAGCTGTAAATTGTTTACGTATCGGTCACATTATTCAGAGATTGGGAATGCGATGAGAAACCGATGCGTTTTTAGCCGGGCTTATTGCTCAAAGAGCAATTGCCGGCTTATGTCATCCTGTTCAAGGCAGGAAGTCAACCCCATATTCGCCATTTTAAAGTTACGAGTAAAAATATAGTTCTTGCTCTCAACCGCTTTTGAGATAATACAAACGCTAAATAAAGCAACAAAAATAAAACGAAGTTTTATCTTAATAAAACATAAGTAGTAATGACTTTGAAAACTTCAGTTCTAAGTCAAAGAACATAGTTCATTAACGTAAGGATTTTTGATAATCAGTGTCATTGTAGTTCTCTACACATACGAGGTAAAGCAGGAGAGGGAACCAGACTGGCCTGTCTGTTTACATTCAGCTGTGGTACCAGATTCTGACAAAATCGGACCGTGGTATAATGATAGAAAAACTCACTGTCAGTGTCTTATCATTTATATTGATAGTTTTAAAATAATTTTTTTCATCAGAATATAAACGTATGATTCATGTAAGAAATTCATTCTACTCTGTAAATGAGCCTGGCTCTCTGTACTTCTGAGTACTTTGATTGGATAAAAGTGGCGTGGTTGCCGGCCGGACACATATAGACTGAGGCCATTTGGCGAACCGGTGGGGGTCATTGGTAGAAAATAAGTTGCATTTAAAAATCAGCGATGTCTCCACCGATGTCCCTCATCGCTCCTTATCGGCAACCCATCATTAACATATCTTTCAAGGATTAGCGGATGTATGGCCGAGTATGGTGAAGTGTCCGTTGAATCTGAGGTCATCGAGGGGTTGAGTGGTGAGCAACAGACATCAGCCGATCATTGGTCAATGTTCGACCAAACATTGGCCCATAGTCTACCGAGGTACGAACGATGTTCACCAATGTATAAGCGTTGTAATATACATCAACCGATTACCCTGGAACATCGTAGTATGATTAGCAATGCATCGTTGAACTTTTGTAAGTCCGGCTGGCAACCACGTCATTTTTATCAATAAATGCATTGGTTGCTCATCGTATACCCCATAGCTGGATAATGTGACACTGATACTTTAAGGTCTACAAGGCCGATGTGGACCGATGTTAGGGCATCGCTCACACCACAGATTACCACCGGTCTACGGCCACCTGCCGGGAAATGTGACTAAGGTATTAGGAAGATATATAGACAGAAAAAGACACTTTTGAATTAAATATATGGGTTAGGTCTTGAAAAGGGTCTCTCTCTCTCTCTCTCTCTCTCTCTCGTCTGTCTTTTTATTTGTTTTGAAGAAATATTCAGTGACTGCCGATTTCTAGTTTTAACGAGAAATTAGCAGTCACACCAAGTAACTCCACAACAAATGAAAAGACCATTATATCGCTGATGTAGACATCTGCACATGTCATTTCTCCAGGGCATTTGTATTTGCATTTAAAATAATTTAAATTATTGGTTGAAATTGGAGCTGGCGTTGACAGTGATATTTAGTATTGGTGTTTAATCTTTGCAACTTTTAAATATTTTGAAGGAAAATTTGTAAGATGAGAGTGGATAAATCGCAGTTGTTGGGATATACTAGGAGAAAAAAGCAAAACGGGAAAGGTACGTGCTGTTCCATCTAATGATTGTTAAATGCGAAATGCAACTACTTACAATAAAATCAATAACAAATTGTTTTTAATCTTTTAAGTTTTGTAATATGGAAGATTTTCAATTGCTTAATGGGAACTCTGATTCATGAAATTTATGTTATTGATAACTTTGTCTTATTTTAATTTTATTTTTATTTAAACAGGCGTACTTAAAAAAATAAAATAAAATAACAACAATCAAAACAGCAACACTTAAAAAGTTTTTGTTAAATTATTTTAATTCTGATTAATTAATTTTAATTAATTTAATTTGTTTTATTTTGATTTATTTATTACTTCCACCTTGCAATTGATCAATAGTTATGAAATGTCTGATTTTTGCTTTGAATATAATCTTGCTTGCTTTAAACATAATTGACATTCGACATTTACTTTATACTATTTTTTTTATAAGTATTGGAAAGCAAAATCTTTGAAAAGGCATTCAAACAAATCAGAGGAAATCTTCAAAACGCTGGCTGTGTGTAAGTATTAAAATTAAATAAATTCACTATACATTATTTAGGTTGTCAATTTAAATATAAGTGTATGAGAAAAAGTGCTATTTAAAAAAAGAATGTCAATTATTCATCCTTAAAAAACAATGAATAAAAAGTTTTGCTTTGCTTCCATTTATCAAAAAGGATGAAAGAAGTCGTATCAATGATTATATGTTATTGATTAGAAGCAAAAATTCATTTAAAAAAATAATACTGACAGTGTGCACCTCTGATTAAAGCAATACATTTTAAAATATAAGGACATTGAGAAAATGTGCCCTTTTTGTTGATATACTTAATATATCGTACATATTTTATTCATTCAATTTCAGAAATGTGAATCAGGATGTTCTGCATGTACTTACTCTATGGGTTGATTATATCAGGGAACTTAAAATTGAAAACTCGAGAATAGAGACAATAATCAAAAATTATTCTCGGATAGACAACATCTTTCAAAACATGAATAAACGAATAGAGGTAAGTTTTTAAAATCGATGAAATTTTAAAAATATTTTAAAAGAAATAATTTGGAAAACTTGAAGGTCCTTCTAGTTCTGAAGCAGTAACGAAACGTGAACATATAAGAATTTGGTTTTATTCCCCTATTTTTATTTTGTGACAACTCATTCTCACCAAATTCACATGGCTGTTACAACATTTAAGTAAAAATTTCAGAATTTGTAATTCTCCCAAATATAATGAATAAAATTGTTATATTTTTATTTTTAACAATTAATTCAACGCCATAGTGTTTAATTATTGAGTTTTGCATCAAATACAGTATTTTTCGGATGAACAGTATTGCTTATGGACATCTTGATATTAAATGATTGAATATGACCATTTGAATTACATCGTTTCGGAACGAAGTCAGCACATTCAATTCATAAATTTATCTGATATTTACCATACTAAGTATTAATATTAAAAATTATATTGCTATTTTAGTTTTCGCTTTAAAATGCAAAAAAGAAAAAAATACCATTATGGCAAAACGTTTGTAATAAGAAAAATGTGTGCAATTTTAATTGAAATACATTTGTCATTAAATGTTCAAATGAGCCATGTCACTTAACAGCGATATGTTATTCGTGGTCGCGGTGTGCATATTGTATTTTTCATAAAAGATGTTCAACTCTTAGCTCTTATTCTGAGATCCGCGTAATGTAACTTTTTTTTTTAAATAATTGCTTCCTTTTTTGATTTTGGAAAGAAAATAAAGTGACTTGAAGAATTTGCATAGGATAAACTTACTCTTTTTTTTTTTTTTTATAGATTTCTAGGTCATTTGTCATTTTTTTCAAAATCTGTCATCTTTTCAGATGCTAGAGATGCAATGGAAAGAGGATGAATCCACAGGAGAAAGCATCTAGATGATCGTGTTTCTCTTGAGAAAGCTTGATTTTTCATTTATTGCACATGAATGAATATTTCAACTGAAATATGACTAAATACTAGACTATGTGTCAAGTTTAAAGCAAAAATCAGAATTGTTAACAAAGTAATCATATCACCTCAAGTAAAATATCTTTCATTTAGAGCAATTGATATACTGAATCAAAGAACACTGACACTTCAAACCGTTTTTTTCAAATTTGTTGAATTTACAAAGGTATTACTATTTTGTTACGTATAAATGACAATTTCTAAAGTGTACAATTTTCTTTCATATGGATTTACTAGATACATGTACATGTAATGGTCTGATTTTAGACCGAAGAAGATTATTCATGATTTCCATATTCATTCATCATTCTATGCTCATTGTTTTGAACATGGATGGATTTTAATATATGAAATTGTCAAATCGTCAATACTCTAGGAAACAAGAGCAAATTATCATAAGCCAAATTAAATCCTAAAAAAAGTTCTGGCTTCAACAAATTGTTTCTAAGAACACTCTTTTTTCGAAAGTTATTGCCGCTTATTGTTATCATTGCATTTGGTGTTTTATCTTTAACAAATCGCTAGAAAGAGCACCCGCATCTTTGCTAGCCAAGGGTTTCCGATATAAAATCTACTGTAGAGTAGATTTCGGATCGGAAATCCTTGGCTAGCGAAGACGGAGCAACCGCTAAATAATGTTGTTAATGTTTCGCCCGCTTGGCGCATTGATTAGAGCGTCTCCTCTAGAGTCGCAAAGTATGGAGTCAATCCTGAAGTCGCGGGTTCGAATCCCACTATTGGACGTGGAGACTAGTCCTTTGGATGAGACTGTAAAATCCAAGGTCACGTGTTGTACAAGGTGTTAGAATGAGAAAGATCCCGCACGGCATAACAAACCTGAGCGTTGAACATTTGTTAAAAAGTTGCAGCTCTCAATTAGCAAGTGGTGGCGTCCCCATATTAGTAAAAAAAAATCTCGAGAGGGACTTTTAACAACATGAAACCCCCCCCCCCAAAAAAAAAAAACAAAGTTCAAACATATAACGTAAATTAATTTTGCAGGAATTTCAAAAATATTTAACTTTTCACCGTGTCTTATTTTGGCTGATTTTATATTCATTGTTAGGCCTTTGCTTTGTACTAAATTTGACTATGGAATGCTTCATTCACTTGATGAATATACATGTATAAGACCATTCAACATGGGATGTTTACTTCTCCTAGGCATCTTATCCCTCCTCTGGAATGTCTTAGACATCTCTATGTTATGTTCAAACATTTTGTATTGCTTGTATTCTTATGAGATCGATCAATGTTATCTTCAATCGTTTTCATGTGCAATAAATAAATAAAAATAATTAGATATTTCAATTAAACGCATAACTTAGAAGCTACAATGAATTGAAATTTTTCATTACACCAGCAATTGTTGCAAATCATTGGTTTTGCTCTAGGCATCCTATTCTCATCTCAGATTATAATGGCCACATTTAATTCGTTGTTTTCGAGGATGCTTAGATATTAACTTAATTAAGAAATTGAGATAGCTATTGTAAATCTTATTTCAAGTTTTTACTTCACATGTTTTATTCAAATAACATAATTGATGAGGTATGCTAATTTAATATTTCGGTGTTTCTATGTTCATCAAATGAATTAAATATTTCTTAATCTAATGAATAAAGTAAATTAAATTGCATTATTAAATTATTTTATTTATTAATGTTTTTACTGAAGTATATTTTCAGTGTATCATGTTACAAGATTAAATTACTATAATCCTTTTTTATGAATTTATTTAAGGAATAACTGTCTTATTTTTCGATTTCATGATGTGATCAATCGATTGGGTTGTGTGATAATTTGCATAAACGCCGAAGGCGTTTATGCATAAAATTATCACAAAAGCCAATCGATTGATCATCGTCATGAAATTGAAAAATCTGACAGTTATTCCTTATATTTACATGCTTTGATTCCGCCAATCCACTGTCTAGCTGTTTGTTCCGCCCTGCACGTGGTTTTTTGGGAACCGCGCCAATAATGTACATTGATGGGGAAATAAAGTACATTTACAATTTGAAATTTTATCTTGAACAAAGACACTGGAAATGTAAATATATCAGTATAGTTTATAATATGATACATCAATGAAATACGTGGAGCTAACTTAAAGAATTCAAGCTCGAAAGTTCATTAAACAATACAATATTGGAGCAGAGCAAATACAGACCTCCATTACATCAAAGGTGGGATCAGGTGCCATGGAGGAGTGAACATCCCTTGCCGACCAGTCACACACGCCGTGTGTCCCTTGTTATGATCGGGAAATAAAGGGGAAATATGTCGACAATTCAGTGTGTATATTAATTAATTAATCAATTAGTATGAAAAACGTCAGTAAGCATTTAACTTCATGATAAATTGTTGTCGCTGAAAAGGTCATTGTCAACCTCAACCTGACTACTTTAAGGATATGTTAATTAGATTTTTCTTAAGTTTTTAATTTCACAAATGCATAATACTTTTTTTAGCCCTTGAGTGCATTTACAGTAAAAATAATACAATATATTTTGGAAACATAGTTGATATAAAATCTAATACGAAAGAAAAAATCAATTATTCACAAATATCTAAATCATATTCTGAAATGCTGGGGGGGGGTATAATTTATTTTTATTATGTATTGTCCTTTAAATAATTTTTTTTTGAAAACTCTAACTTCAAGAATAAAGTTTCGATATGCTAAAACACAAAGATATTATTTTAATTTTCACAAAATGATACATTTAATATGCTTAAAGAAATTTTGTATTGACTACATTTTGGTCCTTTGCCTTTTAAGTGTATTTGTTAAAGCAACACAAATTACTGTAACTCCTAAACGACCCTTTCTATACCAATGCAAAATGTTTTTAGACATTGAGAAAATTAAATTGAATAAATATGTAAATAGTGAGCTTATCTATTTCATTTTCAATATATGATACGTAGCATTTACCCCCAGGAAAAAAATGTTCAAACACAACACAGTATCAGTAAATAGAAATCAGTGTTGTTTACTTCCATGGGGAAAATACATGTAAATAACATTGTTTAATTAGTTTACCTTGGTCTTTACATGTTTTGAATGCTTGAATTAATTAAACATTGCGAAATATACTGTAAATTTCTTTTATTGCAATTTAAATCTCAGAGTAGATTAGCCTGTCTGCAAAAAATTATAATGAAGACTTAGAATTCTTCATTATGCAGTGTAGAGAGGGTTCTTAAATTCATTCCAGTGGAAAATTTGTCATTAAACTCTCAGTACGATTTGATGATTAGGTGTGTTCCCATTTCGCCTTAACTGTGAAATACATGTAAGAAAAAGTTAAAAAGTACTCAGGCGAAATGGGAATTTTGTTATTTGTAAATATTATTACTAGGTTGAATGATAGAAATTTTAGATTGAATTTAACAATTAATGGGAATTTATGAATACAGTGAATGAAATAATACATGTAGTACCAAAAATACTTTATGCTAAATATTTCAAATCTTCATCACCTTATTCACCTGAGAGCTTACTAAGGCGAAATGGGAATGCTAAATTTTACAGTTAAGGCGAGATGGGAACAAACCAATGATTATATAACCTTTTGATCTTTATTTTGTTCTTCCTTGAAAACCGAATGAATCTAATCAACGTTCACTTATATCAGTCACTCAGATAGAGTTTTATGATCAAAAATTAGCATGTCCTACTTAACAGAATACCTGATTTCTTAATTTAGTGTATATGACAGTGGCATGTATCATGATTTTGAATTAAAAAGATAGACAGGCTATAGCTCATGTAAGTGTTTGTCCTATAACAAAGGTTGTTGAGAAATTTTAATTTCTTTCATTTTATGATTCAAATCATCACCAATAAACTGCCAATTTAAAAATTCATGTATCTTCAAATCTATAATTATGAAGAAGGCTAATTCTTATGCTTTTCGCTAATTTTTACTATCTACCTTGTATTTTTCTTTTATACATGTTAGAGCTGATGAAAATTGTTAGCTTTATTTCAACATTGACATATGTAAATATAGAAAACATTGATACTGATTTCTTTTCCTTTCTTTAAGTCTAACTTTTATTCTTTTTTGAACCGTCAATTTAATTGAAAATATGTCAAATAAAGAAATTAAATTAATTAATAGCTATCTTTAGAGTGTTTTTTTTTTTGGTTGTTGTTATTATTAGCATAGATTCAAAGTTTGTTCGTATGTATCTTAAAGTAGTTTGTTGATTGTAACCATGGCATTATTAAGAACAGAAAACACAGTTTTACGTCTTGCTAATCAAATCTACAGGCGATTGAACCTCAGCTTTTGACATATATCTGTTTAAGACAAGAAAAGCTTGATTTTCATTGAAATTGTAAAAAAAAAATTAATTGATTTTTTAAAACTGAAATCACAGTTTTGGGGAAAAGGTAAAATCTCCTGTTAAAATGTAATTATTGAAAATTGTAAATATTCATCAAAAAACACCACATAATTTATCACGTTGCTTATTTGACTGGTGAATAGCCGAATTCATTTCAAGGTATTTAATTTATTTTATTTGATGAATAGTATTATTGTTAGGTAGTTTCCCTGGACCAGTGGTTCTTGGGACGATGATTTTTAATGACCCCACTATTTTTATTTGTCTTGATTATCTCTTCTTCGTAAGAGGGATTGGTCCTTAGTTTTTTACAATCGAAAGTTCACTTTACTTAAGATGCTTTGTACCAGATTTGGTTGAAATTGTCACAGTAGTTTTTGAAAAGAGGCAAAATGTGAAAAGTCAGACAGACGGGCGGACAACGGGTGATCAGAAAAAAGCTCACATGGGCTGTCAGTTCAAGTAAGCTAAAAACATTTGACGGAAATGTTAAGACATCTTGTCTCTTGTCTACTTTTTTGGAAGTTTACTGTACACTGACCTTTCTCTAGATTATTTATAAAATGAACAGGAAATGCAATTCTCAAAAACAGAAGATTTAATCTTCATTTTTGAACTGAAATTGTTTTGTAATCTTCCAATTCTTACAGCTCGGTACTTTTTGTTTGTCATTTTTTCCTTGTTTGAATAATGTAATGTTGTAAATCAAACCAATTCTTTTCTTAACATCTTTTCAAACATGCTTTCACTGGGCAAGATGACAAGTATCGTTTTTAACCATCTGCCTTCCTTCACCAATCATTTATCTTAATAAACTGTGTACAAATTATTATATGATCCTGCAAAGGGATTTCTAAGATATACAATAAATTGTGCAGTCGTTTGTTGAACGAGTTCGACTGAGACCACCATTTTTCCTCACCAGTGACCTACAAAGTGACGTCATTTTCACATTGTGACATCACAGACAAGGAGAAAAACCTTATTCAGCATATGCTATTGATAGACCTTCTTTATGGCTATGTGTGTACCGAATATCATTCTAATCTGAATTGTGGTTTTGTAGATATAGAGAAAGTTCGCTAACTTTTTATCACCCCTAGTATTGTCAATTAACAATGGTAATTTCCATTCCTATGTCTATACGATATATCATGGGGAGCTTAAGATATGCGATACCACAGAGTCTTACCCATCTGTTTCATATTTGGATATTTTACTTAAAAAAGACGGTGAAGGTAATGTAACAACCCAGCTCTATGATAAACCTGATGACTTTAACTTTTCTATTGCCAACTTCTCTTACTTATGCAGCAATAAACCTTCATCACCTGCATGCGGCGTTTATATATCTCAGTTGATTAGAAACGCAAGAGCATGATCTACGTATTAACATTTTTTTAAAACGAGGTAGATTATTGACAAATAAGTTGGTGAATCAAGAATATCAGCAGTCTCGATTAAATCATTATTTCGTAAGTTCTGTGGTCGATGCAATGACCTTGTCAGCAGATACAATTCATCATTGAGTCAAATGCTGACTGGCGTTTTTCATACTAATTGTTAGCCCATTATTTATACACTCAGTTCACGACGGATTTTTCCATTATTCCCTGATCATGACAAGGTGCACACGGCGGGTGTGACCGATCAGCAAGAGATGCTCAATTCTCCATGGCACCTGATCCCACCTCTGATGTTTTAGAGATTCGTGTTTGCTCTGCTCCTATTTTGTATTTTTTTTTGGACTTTGATATTGAATACTGTTCGTTATTTCCATATCCTTCATGTACCTACTTGCACTTACATATTTCAAGAGCTTCAAACAGTTGGGCGGGGCCTATTCAAAATTCAAAGGGAATTGGATTTCAACACGCTGTCCTACCCAACTTTAATATAACATAATAAAACACACCGTATCTACGCGTAGTTTAATTTATTTCTGCATCAAGAGAATTTAGTTTTTCTCAACCTCGGCTTTCAGGTTGAGTGTCAAATATATTTTTTGTAAAAAAAAAAATGTGGCATTTAACATTGAACCTTGTGAATTTCGAAATGCTGACTTAAAATTTGTACAATAATTGTGAAACATAAGAGTTTTTACAATGCTGTAAGCTGTTATGATGTTTAACATTATCAGAACTACGTAATTGATAAAATAGCTGAATAGAGAAAATTTTAAAGTGTGTAATTTTCATGTCTCTTTGTCAATTGGAGTGAAATGTTTATTTTAAAACCATATATTCAAAATTAAAAATACAATTGGTAATACATAAGGCTGTCGTAACTGTTAGAACATCAAAACTTTATTTTAATCCGTGTTAAAGAGGTATTCTAGATATTTCTTTAATTTACTCACGGGGAGTGTTTCTCATGATTTCTCATGGTGAGAAGGGTTAAAGGCATTTATGCCTACCACTCAATTAAATTCATGCATCATGTATAAAATATATTGTTAACCTCTACATCAAAGATTATGGATAAAAATAATTTAAAATATCCAACGATTTTTTTTAATTGTTTCACGTGTGGTCAGGACATGATTTGCATGAGTAAAAATAAAGATTCCATAAAAGGTTTTTAGGAAAATCAAAAACCGATTGTTTATGTTCATAATTCAGCGGACATTAGGTGTAAAATAAATAGGGAAAAAAAACAGAATAAGTGGCATTCAAATAAGGTTCAATGATGTTTATATCAACGTCCTTTGATAAAAGCATTTTGTATTCAAACAATAATTCTTTTTCACTAAATGATACGGGAAAATACGGTCATGGTGATCACATTAATTGGTATTCTCAATACAAAAGACATTTATTTGAAATTAAAAAAGACACAGTGCTAATTGTTTCTATTTTTGTGTGTTAATGCCCTTTATAATCTGGAAGCCTTTCAACAATTAAAATATAGAAATAAATAAACTTTTATTCTTGAGATCGACATTACATAACTTTGGCTTAACTTAGTGATGAAATAAATATGACTTAAAATGAATATTTTATGAATGCATGTGGAATCATTTCTCTTAATATTTCAAAGAAACAATTACCAGATACTATTAAGTCAACATATGATTGAAATTCGAATCTTTTTCTAATTCATTTTAGTCTCATTATTTCACATCCTTTGAAACTTCAAAGTCTTCTTTCAAAACCCATCGAATTCTGATATTGAGGTTTATTTATATGACTCATTTTACACCTTTGCACTTTATTTTATTTTTATTTAATCACAGGGACAAAAACCAGAAAATATAAGCGTGTTCCTGGTTTTCTTCTTTATTATTCAATGTTTTACATGCATTTATATTTCTAAAGTACTGCTTTTCCTTAAATAAAGATTTTCAGAAATCCACGTATTTTATAGGTTTTCATTTTTTTAAAGTAATTTATATCATAGTATTATGAATTTTATTCTATGGATAGGGAAAAAAACTCCGTATGAAATAATGACGTACTGGATATCCTCTTTGTTACTCAAAACAAGGAAAAATTCATAATTATTATTACTGTCTGTTCTAAAAACGAATCCATGTACTCTATAATAAACATGGGTTATAATAAAATCATTTGTATAGCATCAAAAAGAGACTGTTACAAGACATAATGCATATATTAAAAGATCTGAAATATGAATGATTTTTAAATCGTCTACACTTTGCCGACAGCTTCTTACTTAAAAACTTCTCATTCACTAATTATGAAATGGGATGTGTCACAATACTTTTAATGAAATTCATTTTTGAGTTGCGAAACTCTCTATTTCTGCTAACTACAAATGCAAATGTCAAACGGTACTATATGCATAAAGTAAAATATAGATCAAGGCTAAATAAAATACGGCCAATTAGGCGTTAATTATATTAAGCGTATTAGCTTGCACGAAATAAATGTAGCTGAAAAGTGCATAAGTATTAATATAAATATACTTGCATACGATATGTTTCTTTTCACTTCAGATTGCTTTTCTGAGAAGTAGGCAATTTCTCTTAAATCAAAGCATTTTTTTATCCTTGACAGTACCAAAAGCCATAAAACCTAAGTAAAGAGCTTTAAATGTTTAAATAAAAAAAGAACTACCGGTATATTCTTTGAATAACAGATTTCATTTCAAAGCTAAAAGCGTAAAGAAACTTTAAGACTTCTTTGAAAATTAATTTAGTTTTAATTCTTATTTATTGAAAAGTGAAGCAAGAGAACAAAATTTTAATCAAATTGGTTTCTTTTGTTTTAAAAACAGATCTGGCCCCAGGATCACGAAACAAACTTAGACGTAAGTCTAATTTTCAATTGCCTGGAAAATGTTTAATAATTATTGAATTAATCTCAAAACTAGAAAATTACAGCACTTGTTGTTGATAATCTTCCTATATGTGACGTTAAAGTACATGTGACATTAAGTTAATATTCCTATTATGACGTCATCTTAATTATGACGTCATGGTAACGTCAATGTTATGCAATGTTTGAATAATTAGTCTAGATAAACAAGTCAACGTGATAAGAGGTGTTTTTCATTCTATCTAACTCAACATTTGGTGCCCTGACCAGTGGGAAAGTAATAACAAACTAGATGGATGTCATCAAGTTAAAGGCACAGCGTTCAGGCCATCGTGGAGTTATTACCAAAGTTTTAAGGAGAATTTCTAAGAATGAAGATGAAAATGGAAAAGCTGAAATGATCAAGGTACTGGAGGAGGATCGGGACACGTTAGAGAAAATCAACAGCGAAATTTTACGAGAATTAGAGAAAGAAGAAGAGATTTAAATGGAGATCGAAGATTCAGATGAGTACATGTTAGATTTGAGACTAAAATTAGCAGAATTGACAAAGAATGGAAAGGCTTCTGAGAATCTTAATCAATCTACATCCAGGAATTTTAACATAAATGCACAACACGTCATTTCAAGAGGTAGAATCCAAAATAGGAAAACCTAACATTCATAGTCATAAACTGTCAAAATTAAACCTGCCATTTTTTTCTGGAGATTTACTTGAATGGCAAACATTTTGGGATTGTTTTGAGACAAGCATCCATGGGAACAACAGTTTATCTAATGTTGAAAAATTTAGCTATCTACGATCGATGCTACGAGGAGAAGCTCTTCGCACTGTATCAGGATTCAGCTTGACCAATACCAACTACAGACAAGCAATAGATGTTTTATTTGAAAGATACGGACAAAATCACAAAATCATCAAAGCCCATATCCAAAGTTTAATTGACATACCATTCCCAAAGTCTAATCCTGACAGTTTGAGAAATTTCTTCGACAAAATGGAGTGCTGCATTAGAGCATTAGAAGCTCTAGGAACTGATGAAACCACCTATGGGACAATTTTAACTCCAATGTTATACAACAAACTACCAGCAGAAATTCGGAAGAACATTACCCGGGACAAAGGAGATGATCAATGGGAACTGAATTCACTGAGGAGAGCCATAAAGAAGGAGCTTTGTGTTAAAGGTGCCGGTGTAACGACGAAAAGTGACCTCCGTAGAATATTGACCAGGGGATCATTTTTCTACGTAGAAAAAAAATGACCCTGGGTTAATATTCTACGACAATTAGGGTCATTTTTCGACTGTAGAAAAACATTCCAGACCAGTAATTCTACGACTCCACACACGTTGAAAAATGACCCCCATAGAATTTTGACCCCCTATTTTTTATACAATGAAACCGTATATTTATATGTGTCTCCTGATATTTTTTCTTACCTTCTAGTGCAAGTAGTGGGAATTTTTTATGTACTTCAATCCTTTCCAACATATATTTGATTGCATATCTTAATAGTAGCATCACTATCAATGTATCTGGTATGAATTTATTTTTGACTTGCTGAATCCCAATGAATATTTATTCATTGAGGAGCATAAATTTATTCTTATGCGTATTTTTGGGTGTTTTTTATCTTTCAAAGGTTTTGTTCCGAAAATGGCATGATATGTTTCTGGTAACTATAAACTTTGAATTATTTTTTTTTTACAAATCCAAAAACATAGCATATAAGCAAGAAAAGCAACGTTATTTAACTATATAAATTCAATTCCCTTAGCTCTTACATTTAAACTTACATATACATCTGTATGAAAGAAAGATATGGAGATAACGAACAGTATTCAATATCAATGTAAAGTCCATAAAACAATACAAAATAGGAGCAGAGCAAACACGGACTCCCAAAATATCAGAGGTGGGATCAGGTGCCATGAAGGAGTGAGCATCCCCTGCAGACCGGTCACACCCGCCGTGTGATCCTTGTCATGATCGGGAAATAACGGAAAAATCCATCGTCAATTTAATGTAAAAATAATGGACTAACCATTAGCACGAAAAACGTCAGTCAGCATTTGACTTAATGATAAATTGTATTCGCTGACAAGGGCATTGTATCGACCATAAAACTTATGAAATGATTTCTTTAAAAGAATATTCTTGTTTCCATCAACTTGCTTGTCAATGATTTACCTTTTTTAAGAAAATGTTCATACGTAGATCATGCTCTTGCGTATGGGATCAACTGAGATATAATTTATACACTTCGTATGCAGGTGATTAAGGTTTATTGCTGCGTGAGTAAGGGAAGTTGACGATAGAAAAGTTAAAGTCATCACGTTCATCATATAGCTTTGTTGTTAGATTACTATTAACGTCTTTTTCAAATAAAATATCCAAGTATGAAACAGATGTGTCAGACTCTGTGGTATCTTTTATCTCAAGCTCTTCAGGATATGTCGTATCGAAGTAGGAATGGAAATTACCATTGTTAATTGACAATATGTCGTCGATATATCTTAATAAAGAGTTGAAGGCAACAGCAAGTGTTTTCTTCTTTTCACACATAAGATCTTGCACAAATTCTGCTTCATATGAATACAAAAATAGGTCTGCTAATAACGGAGCGCAGTTGGTAGCCATGGGAATTCCAATAGATTGTTTGAAGACCTGGTCTCCAAAAACCACATACACATTGTCAATCAGAAACTCAAGCATCTTTTTTATGTCAACTTCAGAGTACTTGTGTGTGTAATCAGAGTGTGTTTTAACAAAATACTTTTTCAAATGACTAATTACCAGGTAAGAGAATTTACGAATTCTATTTTTACTGAAAAAGCAGCTGTCAATGATATCAAAAAGTCTGGACTTTAATTTATCGCAGGGAATGGTTGTGTATGAAGTTGAAAAGTCGTAAGTTTTTAAGCTGTTGATTTTGGTAAAATCTTGTGATTTCAAATTGTTCAAAACTTCTTTGGAATTTTTGAGTATCCACATCTGATCACACCACTTTTGGATATATTGTTTCACAGTACTCTTGAAGTTTTTTCTTCATTTCTGTCAATTTCTTAGTGAGTTGTAACGAAAGGGGCATGGTTGAACATTTACGGGAACCCACAATGTATCTTTGTTTGTAAGGATTTTTATGAAGTTTCGGAATCCAGTATATACCCTGGTATAGGGTAGTTCATATTCATTTTGGCTCTGTGAAATATTAGAAATATTCAAAACTGACATACGATTTTCAAGAATTTCTTCCTCAGAAAGAGAAGTATGAGTATAAGTTGGTTTACCACTTGTAGAATTGAATACAAGATCTTTTAAAATATAATTTGCATAATGAGTCTTAAAACGAAGACAATATTGTTACCTGCTTTGTCGGCAGGGACCAGGACGTACTGATCATGTAATCTATCTAATTATTTTATCACTTCTGGATTATTGAACACAGAAGGATAGATGGTTTTTATATTGCCCCTAAAACTTTTAAGGGACTCCGACCCTCAGCCAGGAAAGACAACTCTTTAATTTATAATTTAATTCAGAAAGTCTTTAAATGAAGCTCGAAAATTAAATCTTTTCATGCAACAATTTTCATTATATGCCTCTCAATGTGCTTCAAGGTTCTTTAAACTTCTCAGAAAGGTCTAATTAAAAGTAGAAATTTTTATCCCGAAAAAAGCATTTTTAGATACCAATGTTCATTAACATGATATGAAATTAGAAGTAATTTATGGAAATTTAGGGTTCTTTGCAAAGCTCCATAAATTACTTCTAATTTCATATCATGTTAATAAACATTGGTATCTAAAAATGCTTTTTCGGGATAAAAATTTTATCGTTCTTATGATGATATTAAAAAGTCCTCCAAAACTGGCAAAAATTTACATCTTATTAAATAACAGTTGAACCTTCAGACATATCTATAAATTAAAAAAAAAATACTTCCCTTTTCAACACTTTTTAGCCCACAGACACTTGACCAATGGTGCTTTTACACCCCCTTTCTTCTGAGATTTTATAGACATTACTTTTGCAAATTAATGAACTCTGTTAGTCTATCATGTCATTACTTCGATATAAAGTCCTAGCACATACCGCCCAAAAGTTAATGCTAACGTAAACGTGTGGAATTTTGGGGTAAAAGTGTCTCAAACTCCAAGGTCAATGTCATAAGGTCAAAGTTGGTTGTACACAAAAAAGGGACCTTGCATAAAAATACAACTGTGAAATATGAAAGCCATGGTCCCACCAAGTTTAAAGATATGGGCAAGATTAATGCAGTCAAGTACAGAAACAGACGGACGGACAGGTAAAGAACTATACACCCCGAAACTTCGTTTACGGGGGCATAAGTATAACATTAGTAATATCTTTTTCATCGAAAACGTTACACTTTTGAAAAATAAAACTTTATTTTGATTTGTGCAAATTATTTATCCGCGTAAAATCAAAGAGATTTATAATTAATTAATTATGGAAACTTTTTTCTGACATCAGCTAGAAAATAACCTTTTCTAAAGATTAAAATGACAACTGTGAAAACTTACTGTATAAAATGTAATAAACGTTTCTATGAATGAGCGTATCTTTGTTCTAATATAGCCTTTAGTTAGAATATTTTAATATTGTTTTCGTGGAATGGGGATAAAACAGTTTGTATTATTAATGTAAGGTATTGTATAGCTTTGATTTCGTTATCTAGGCTTAAAAGCTTTCAGAAATAACACTTCAAAGCATGAGGCAGCTTGATATTACCCGTATACATTTCCCTAACAAGAATATACCTACCAAAACGAATGTTTTTGCATAAAAAAAAATGAAAAGGAGTCATTATTCTACGGGTTCATTTTTCTACAATGCACACGGAGAAAAACGACCCTAAGGCCATAATTTCTACAGAAAAGTGGGTCATTTTTCTACGTAGAGTATTGACCGGGGGTGAATGACCCCCGGTCAATTTTCTAAGAGGGTCACTTTTCGTCGTTACACCGGACAGTCCATGCAAACAGAACAGGAAACCCAGGAATTCATTCCAACAGCTAACTTTGTTGCTGGGTCAAGTCATAAAAGGAGCAACAAGCAGGAAAATTATGTGAAGCAATGCTTATTCTGCAATGGAAATCATTCACCAATCAAATGCCATAATGGTCAAGACTACGATAAGAAAATATCAATCACCAAACAGAAGAGAGTGTGCTTCAATTGCTTCGGAAATCACAAAGTAAGTGAATGACCAATCAAATTTCAAATGCAGTAATTGTAAGAAGTCTCATCATACAAGTATCTGCAAAAATTCGCAATTATCTAGAAGTTCCCCAGAGAGAGCTGTCACAAAGTCTGAGAGCACACACTCGAATCAACCACGTCTACGAGAGCTGTCATTCCATCTTCACTCTTCAACACAGGTGACAGCCAACACAGAAGTGCTAATGAAAACTGCTGTGACACCAATTTGGTATGGAAATCAAGAAATCAGCTGTAGTATATTGCTTGATGAAGGGCTCAAAATTCATTTATTACTGATGAGCTAGCACAGAAACTTGATATTATATCAAATGGATCCGTTACCCTAAGAATTTCAGCATTTGGAGACAAGAATAGTGAAAATCATCATCTTGAGAAAGCAACGGTACAGCTAGAAACACAAACTGGAGACAAAATTCCAATAGAGGTCATCATTATTCCAAAGATTGCAGCTCCAATCTCAAACAGATCACGCGTCAATATCAAAAACTTGCATACCTTAGAGAATTAAAATTGGCACACCCGGTTAGCGCACAGGAACAGTTCCATATTTCAATGCTCATTGGTTCGGACATCTATTGGAGCATAGTAGGGGACAAAATCATCCGAGGAAATGGACCCACCGCAGTAGGATTAAAGGTTGGATATCTGATATCTGGACCTATCCACCTAACAGGACTGATGGGGAATGCACATCCTATGATACAATTTGAAAACCAGATTTACGATGTTCCTCCCAGAGGCATATTTGTTTCAAAATTTTTGAGACAGATATATGAAGACGATAAAGGAATGACTAGTACTGAGCACAATATATTTCTAATTTCAAGGTCACATCAAAGTCACGCTGGTACAAGCAGAATGATGTCAAGAAATCCTCAGAGAAATCCCAGATTTGAGAAAGTTTTTGATGGGAAGATGGCAGTGCATGCACCGCAACAGAAGGTGGGCTTCTGTACTGTATTACATGAACTCAGCAGTGAGAAGTATGAAGACTTGGAGAGCGAAGAAAACAGACACCTGTGTAGTAATAGAATGAGGGAAGAACCAAGTGAAGTAAGACATAGGGAGAACAGTGGTCACATACAAAGAGGCAGAGGGACATACAACAGACTTGACAACAGAAGACAGTATCACCGAATCCGAAGGACAGGAACTACATGCAACAAAATCAAAATTGGAAACCTCGTCGAAGCCCATGATGATCTTAC